AATGGCGGCCGAAAAATTTGCATGTTTGCGTTGAAAAAAAAGGCAGAAGGAAATGGAATTGGACGCTGATATTTGGTAATTTTGTTCATCTACTGACATACTTTCTGAATATACAATAAAAAGACAGCACAATTTTCCATCGCAGTGGCACTTTAATTAAAACCAAATCCGGAAAGTCGCCTCTCCCAGACACAATGAACATGACTGGCGAAAAATACAATTCTTCGTCAGCGAAAGCTGGCGCTTTGAACAAGTACTTTGCTTCCGTATTTCTTCCTAAACCCACCACTCCTCTGTGTTTTACTTCCGTATCAAAACTGGACCAACTTGATACGATTACTGTGACAGTCGAAGAAGTTAATGCGTTGCTATGCAACCTATCAACAGCAAAGGCTACAGGTCCAGATGGAATTTCAGCCAGACTTTTGAAAAAGTGTTCAGGTGTGCTTGCTCCCTCTCTAACAGCATTGTTCAACATGTCGTTATCTCTCGGTAAAGTCCCAGCAGAGTGGAAACAAGCTAATGTTGTTCCTGTTCCTAAAAGTGGCGACCCCCATGTGATCAGTGATTATCGACCAATCTCCTTACTATCACTGATTTCCAAAGTCCTTGAACACGCAATCCATGTCCGAGTTTCTGCTTTTGTCAAACCTCTATTACATGATCGACAACACGGTTTCCGTACAGGTCGGTCCTGCATTACTCAACTCCTTGGTGTGATCCACAATGTCGGTAAAGCACTTGACTCTGGAAAAGAAACGGACATGATCTACCTCGACTTTTCCAAAGCATTCGACTCGGTTCCCCATGACAAGCTTTTATTTAAACTTCACCAATTTGGGATATCGGGTATACTCTTGAACTGGTTTTCTGACTACTTGAAGGAGCGAAAGCAGCGTGTGGTAATTGATGGATTTTCTTCTACGTACCTGGACGTAACATCTGGAGTGCCACAAGGCAGTATGATCGGGCCTTTACTTTTCCTAATTTACGTAAACGATCTTCCCGAGTCGGTTAATTACAGTTTGGTTCCCATGTTGGCGGACGACAGCGAATGTTTTCGATCTATTGACAATTCACAAGACAGCACCCTTCTGCAGTCTGACATTAACTCGCTCTGTTTGGTCGTCTACTTGGGACTTAAAATTTAATTACAAGAAATGCTCAGAAATCAGTACAATCTTAACAACGAACTTATCCCATTTAAATCCACTCAACGAGATCTTGGTATCCAAGTAAGCAGCGACTTAAAGTGGTCACAGCACATCCGAAATGTTGTGGCAAAGGCCAACCGTATGCTTGGATTTCTACGTCACAATTGTGTCCATCAAACAGATGTAAATTCCCGACGCACATTATATATATCGCTTGTTCGAGCTCAGTTATGCATGTTATGGTAGTGAACTCTGGGCACCACAACAACGTCGAAAGACCTACTTTGTATTGAGGGAATACATGCAACGACGCGCGACTAAATTTATTCTGCAGGATTACAGGTTAACATACGTGGAACGCCTGAAAAGACTAAACCTTATCCCAATATCGTACTGGTTTGAAATAAAGGACATAACGTTTTTCTTTAAATGCAAAGTAGGATATTTTGACCTAAAGCTCGAGGACTATGTTGTTCAACCACCTCATCACCAGACTCGCTTTAGCTCAGCCAACACTCGACCTGACTTATACACAACATCCTTCTTCAGAAACTTTTATTTCAACAGAGTGGTTCTAATCTCTCTTCGTTCAAAACTAAACTATACCACTATTACTATGCGAAATTGAGCTTAGAATTTGATGTCGATCAACCAAGAACTTGGAAATCTTTGTGTACAAAGTGTCGCTCCTTTGACATTACTTGTTGTTCGTAAACGTGTAAAAATTAGTATAAAAACTCTAAAAATTTATTTTAAAAAATCATTATATATTTTGTTAAGACCAAAAAACGGTACTAGTTAGATAAAGTGTTAAGTTAGATTAATAAACATGTAAATGTTATGCATGTTAGTAGAAATAGTTTTGGTGGGACTTAATTGGATCTTATTTAAGATCTGTTGTCCTTTTCCTTCAATCATTTGTTAATACTCTAAAAACTCAAAACAGCTTACCTTATTACTGAATAAAACTTTCTTTGAAGCTCGAAATCAGTGCAATTTTTGCGGCGAATGCAGATGTGCAGGCTTGAACCTAACCAAAGAGCCTGTTCGCAGGAGAAGTGAACCGTCCACTCTATCTAAACCTCTTGTCGAAGGCATATGGCGACTACTGTTTCAAAAATGCTTTAATTGATTGCATCTCGTATTAAAGTAAACATTAAATTTTCTCTCCATCTCTTCTTGTCGCTTAAATAAATTTTCCAGACTCTTCTCCATAATCCATATTGAATTCCTTTGGTTCCTCGCTCTGTCGAGGTACACATATTCCTATCTTACTCCACTTTAACCATTTCTTGCGTTCCTCTGTGCCCATACCGTGGACTTGATCGAGATGATTTGCTAACCTTGCTAGATTTGTACTACCACAGCCAAACACAGTACAGTTCCTACGCGTGCGACCCATAGATGTTTGCTCAAAAATTCCTGACAATAATTGGCTCATTTTTTCTTGTGTTAGATGTAATATATGAACAACGAGAGCGAGTGTTTCACCGGGATATCCAAACACGAGAAAACAATGTATGAAAACACGAGCGCGAAGCGCGAGTGTTTTCATAGATTGTTTTCGAGTGTTTGGATACCCCTGTGAGACACGAGCTCGAGTTGTTTATATGGCTTAACAGAATGTGACGTAACAGAATATGTGAATATGACGTAACAGAATGTTCTCGTTTGCTGATTTCAATAGAATTCTGAACCAAGCATAACGTAATTAGGAATTCTATTCAAGTAATTTTGCATGCGTAATTAAGATATTTGATGAAAACACTAGTGACTTTCATCAAGTTTCACCGGGTTATCCAAATGGCATCTTGTGATCAAATAGGTGATTATCATTGGCTGAATTGCTCATGAATTATTAATGAATTTGAGAAATTTTATTAATATATAATGAACATGGACAGGTACTGAATAATTAATGGCTCGTGCTATGATTGACCCAAAATACATTGTGCACAAGGAGCGTCAATCCTGGGCGGAGGGTCACACCACCCTCACTTTTTGGACATTCGTAATATGATGTATTTAACAAATAGATAAGGGAAGAACAAAAAAGTGGCGACGAGCCGCCGAGGCGAGTGGGTCGCCACTTTTAAGCTAGCCTCCTCCGAAAGCATCTCTATAGGGTTAGGGTCAATGGTTAGGTTTAGTTGATTTTTCCGATCACTCCAACTCCTGTACGGATGTCTGGGGAGGAGGCTAGGTAAAATTATCTCACATGCAGTCAAAGAATAGCTCAATGCGTGGCATGTAAAAGGATATATATTCAGTAAAACGTAGCCATAACATTAATTCTACCACAAAGCAAGAAAGCAAAAGTGTATACACAAGTAACTTGAGTTTTAAAGAGCAACCAGCAAACAACTTATAACGAGAATTGTCAGGAAATTATGAATGTGATCAATAATGAACAACTTCCATGGTCGTCCTTCAAATCCATAATGGCAGACTTCGAGAACGGCAGAAAATACTCCAAGCAGAATGGCAACATTTACCGCTCCAGCAACACTGGTTACAGACCTGCAAGTAATTCATACACAACCTTCAACTTCCATGTATTGTCACGAAACTTTGTTGATACTTGGTAAGATTCAAATGGAATCTCGTTTCTAGGCCATGTCCTCTACGTTCCTACCTCGTTTGTAACGAAGGAACTTGATTCAAATGTTCGAGAAACTTTTATTCATTGCATCGAAAGGTTGTATTACTAAAAATATTCCGTACACATTGTCTGCATAAAAAACTGAAATCTCACCGAAATCTCTACTATGTAAAATTTCAAATTTATCCAAACAAATTATTAATATATAATATGTTTGGTAAAATTCCGACATAATTAAAATACAGGTAGTCAGTGTAGTTTTCATGATACTCAGTGGATACTCATCATTGATGATGCACCGTGTACCATGTCTTGCAATGGCCAAAATCATTGGCAGCGATTGTTGTTAGAAATGCAGTGCACAAAAATGCCCAGTACTTTTCCTTGTCAACAAACTGGCACAAAAATTGCGTCACTCGCAAAAATAGGTGTAGGAAGCGTGAAATCTAGCTCTGAGTGTAACACTGAGTGTACCAACTCTTCAGTGGCGTTCCTTGGCCATTTCAAGTGTCTGTGTGTGTGGAGCGGGGGTTGACGCCCCATTTAGTTACTGATAAAAAGGGCGTTGCCCCACTTATCCCTTCCCTTCCAGGTCTATCTAAGTCGGGAAATTTAAAGTTAAATTTTCAATATCCTCTAACAGGTACAATGTGACTCAATTTAATTAAAACTCTATACTATAAGGTACTATTTGTACTAAAGTACTACTATTTTAATCCAATTGAAACAGCAGCATTGAGTGCTTGATAAAAATGTCATATAAAAATTTTACTGACAACCTTCCTCATGTTTTACCGATCAGCATTCCATTTTCTGATTTTACCGACAATCTTAGCGAAACATGCGTGTGATTGTGTGGAGGGAGTTGCACAATACTCTCCCCCTGCAACTGGTATGCCCCTGCTTCTTGCAATACAATGTATGAACAATATATGTACGAACATTGTGATATTGGTTGCATGCGCGTCTTTAAATGGAGAAAATCACAAAGCATTTATATTGGTAAATATTAAACTTACTGTAGGATATAGAACTTGAGCAACAATGTGAGAACAACACTTGAAATCATGGCTATTCCATAGTTGATTTTATTGGCAATTAACAAAGTTTGGATTTCCTCTTCGCTACAACCAGGAAAAGCAAGACATGACCATTGCTTCCCAACCATAACTGGAGAGTACCAAAACGCACTAACAAATTGACTGGCAATAATCGAAACAATTATGTCGTACATTGTAGAATTTTTCTATCTAAATCAGAAAAAAACACTGTCACAATATTTTGTTCATAACCTTCACTATGAACATCTCAGATCATATAACCACTACATAACTGTATAGTGGAACCACCAGGGAACCTTTAGTCGTTGCGACGTAGAGCACTATAGCGACCTAGGAAAATCTGAGAGAAAAGGCCGCAACTTACAGGCTTAGGGTGATTTAAGGTACTGTAATTTACTAGGCGATTTAAGGCAACTGAACAGACGCCACCAAGCTGAAGAGTGCTTGGGAGTTCGGAATCTTCCAATCAGATCGCAGTTGCTTAACCTGGGTGTTCAGACAGTAATGTTAAAAATTAAATCCATTGCATTATAAACTTTTGGGAATATTTTTCAACCCCAATAAGAACATATTCAGGTTGAATCAATATCCATGCCTCTATTATATGGGTTGGAAGGGGGCCTAGGGGAGGGGGTCACCAATTTTGGAATTTCATTGCAAGAGCACAGGGCCAAGTCTACCTTGATGGAATTTGTCTTACTTACTCACTTCCCTTTTATTAGCCTCTGCAGGAAGCATAAAAAAATCGGGGGGGGGGGGCACCAGCTTCCAGCGGCAGTTTTGGATAATGAAAAGGGGAGCTAAAATTTTCCCGAAAATTGGGAAACGCATGCTGCTGTTTCAATTAGAACATACAATGAACATTTTAGACAGTGCTTCCACTTTGACTAAATTAAATGCCCTGATTTTTACGAAATTTTGTAAAAATTTAAAACATCGAAATTACCTATAATTTTTTTTCATTGGATTTATATGTACATGATGTTATCATGCAGTGAGAATAGTATTTACAACATAACTAGCTTGTGTAAATAGGCATACATGAGGGACTGGTCATTAACAATGGATTATGGGAGGGGGGCGGTGGGTGCTAAATACGAAATATTGAACATTTTTTAGAGCTGCCCCAATTGAAAGACCTTTATTTTCAAGATGCCCCCTGACCTTCATCTGGAAAATTTAGGGGACTCCCTCCAACATTTAATTCATTACAAAGGTTCTATTTTTAATAAATCAGTTACTATAAAATTATACCAAAAGGTGTCCTTTGAATGGTGAGCTTTTTTGCATTAATTGTTTTATATTTAACATTAATTAATTTTTAGTTAAGAATATAAGTTTTAAAGTTCCTCCATAAGACAGACTAATGCTATTTAAGACGATCATGTATTTGAGTCGAACTGTTTCATATTATTCTATTATATAAAATATAACATAATTATAGTAACTTTTTTGTTTTATAATATGTTGCCCCCAATTCAGGCAAAAGCTGCCCTCCTAAATGTGTTTAGGAAACAAAAAGGGCACCTTCGATGATAAAATACTAGTATTTACAGCCTGAGCCAGCCAGGGCCGTAGCTAGACGCGATGCATAGCTAGACGTGATATGCAACGCCCCGCCCCCCCCCCCCCAATTATCCAGTCTAGCTACGGCCCTGTTTACAGCCAACATTAGCTTGTCCAAAAAGGGCACTTTTCATCGCAAAAAGGGTACTTTTGGTCCTTTTAAAAAATTTGGAGGGTGTCCCAGTTCCTATACCCCTGAACAAGGGGGGGGGGGGATTTCAAATTCAAATGACCTAGCTGTGGCATGACATCCATGAATACATCCTTCTGGAAAGTACTTAGCCATGGCTATATAGAGCCTTGTTTCCTGTGCATGTTTGTGGCCTGCAGTCTCAAACAGACAATGCCATGAGACACTGATTACAAAATTATAAACAGGTCTTATTATAAATTCACTGATGTGCCACCTGTAACAAGGTATCTCAATCACGAAAACGAGGCTCGTAATAGCACTTTCCGGAAAGTGTTGCACGTGATACATGCAGTTTGGGATTATGTATATATGTTTACAAGTGCTTAATATCTAAATGACTAATTACAGTACTTTGCCTCAGCAATACATAGTTCAAACTTTAAACTGCTAAACAGCAATGGCGGAACATGTTGCTCCCAAAAAACGAAAGCTTGATATAGACCGCGTTCACATTAATCTATCACAGAAAGAACTACAACGCTATATTCTCGAAATAGCCAAGGAACCCCTTGTGTTTTTGGATAAAATATCCGATTGGGGAAGTCTCGCTTGGACGCCAGAAAGCCTGAGTAAACAGCTCTCGAATGTACGAACTCGATTCCGATTCTGTCCTCGTATTTCTTCAAGCGAGTATTGCTTTCCCGCCAAACATGCAGTGATGGAGACAGATTGTCAGTTCATGGAAGGTACTTTTGGGGACTTTCATGAGTGGTTGACATGCGATGAGGCGAAATCGCCAAATTTGGCTTTTGGAAAGTTTCCTAGGAAAGGTAAAATGTGAAATATAATTTACCTCCGTTCTTGTATTGCGTTTCTTTATGATTCTTGTTCTTCTGCTCTTCAACTGAGGCATGTACGGGCGATCATGGGCATTAACGAATTTAACGTACGCTACCGGAAGTACTTAATATTTAGTACTGCTTTTAAAAATAACAACATACCAACATTATCCTTTATTATGAACACCCTCCTACGCAGAGTCATGGAAATATAAAATGCAATACAGGACTTAAGCCCTGACATGAGAGAAAAGTCAGAGGTTTCTCCAATTCTCCCTGCAAAATATGGTATACCCTGAGCTTGGCAGATTGCTTTTGCAAACAGCATATTATAATTATGGGTTACATTGACCCAAACCAAATGTACTTTCTGCAACGATAGACTTGCTCTACAATAGCAGGGTGGGTTGGAAAATTTATCGAAAATTGATATTAAATTGGCAGGAGTGGATAGGTGGGGTTTTTGAAATTGTTGTGGAATATAAGTCTGTTGCAGACATTCCAACTCTCCCGATTTTACCAGGAGTCTCCCGAAAATTCATGCAATCTCCTGGTCTCCCGATTTTTATGAAATTCTCCCGATTTTTCAGAATATTCAGGAAATATCGTAAAAAAATCATAAATATACTGTTTTTAGCACCATAATAGTCTGTCTTCACCTTTTTATGAAGTTACTTTATGGCAATTTATAGGATTACTTATAACAACATACTCCCAAAATGCAGGAAACGCCATTTCTGAAGACTTAATTTTTATTATTTTTTCTCTGAAGAACTAGATTTCAATTCATTGAACAGTCTCCCTAAATTTTACGTCCAGTAGTTGGAATGTCTGGTGTTGTTGCAATATACTGTAGGTTGCAACCTTTAAAATTGCTTCCAATTGCAGCTCTCATCCTCTCTTCCACAGGTGCTTCATGCACAAATAGAGATGCATGGATTATTCCTGACCTATTTTGCCTGACCTGCATCTAACACCCCCCCCCTGCCCCCCCCCCAATTATAATATAACTATGTTACTATCAGGCCCGTAGCTGAGGGGGGGCCTGGGGGGGCATTGCCCCCTCACTCGGTGGGGCAGTGCCCCCCAGTGCCCCCCCACTCCGAAATTTGGTATGAAAAATTGAGATAAAGGACCTGGAAACCAATTGTAATCATGGGACAAATTCTGTAAATTTTGTGGTTAATTAATTTTGTGATGTTTCGAAAAATTTTGTTAGGTTTCAGAAAAATTTGGTCTGTGCGGAAAAAATTGGTATGTCCGGATAAAATTTTTGACCCCTAAAATGGTACACTGACCGAAATTTTTTTGGCGACGGGGGGGGGAGGTCGCCAAAATAACTTAGTGCCCCCCCCCCAGAAATTGAGAGCCAGCTACGGGCTTGGTTACTATGCATTGACAACCCTTTGTGCAATATTCTTCATTAATAGAATTTAGCATTGACTTGTAATTTATTAACCTAGCTACCATATTTTTATGCACAATTATATAATATACAATGTTTGATTAATTAACTCCATATTGCTCTGTTGTGAAACCATCTGTTTCCTAAATCCCCGCCCTGCAATGGCCATATTAGCCAAAATCCACCCTGTAGGATAGCTAGAGCACATTATTGTATGTTTCCTACATATCAAACGTTTTATCTAAATGTACGGCAATTGATATCAGTAAAGTATCGAGGTTTTTGGGCATCTCGTTTGATACTGACTACAATAAATGTAGCTCTGCAATTCTGGTGCAGTGCTTAACCAACTGAGCTACAGATCAGTCCAGTTGTTGCACACGGACATTAACTACAAATTCATATAATTATATCTAATGAGTGATACCAGTGGTAGGTATATGGGTAAATATAATGATTAAATATAATGGTGTATACCTTTGGGTGTATAGAATAACATTACACCTTTGCTTTCACATGTCATTCATGACAACACTTCTGATAGGGTTTCTGTCACTGTTTTGGATAGAGCAGACTACTCGTGTTATGCTGATTACAAATACATGAAAGACTTATTTGTTGAATGTCCCAGTAAAGTACAAGATATAAACTGGGCATGTCTTGGTTTTCCAACAAGGACTGGTGAACAATCAACATTTTGGATGGGTAGTGATGAATCATTTACACCATGTCATTATGACAGTTATGGATGTAACTTGGTTGCTCAACTATATGGCAAGAAGAAATGGTTATTGTTTCCACCAACTCAGAGTGAGTATCTTCACCCCACTCGGATACCTTATGAAGAGTCCAGTGTTTTTAGTCTGGTCAATATCCGAGATCCTGATCATGAGAAATTTCCAAACTTTGAACATGCAACCTGTTATGAGGTTAGTAAATTGAATTTTTTAAATGACCAACAAGTTATTACAATTTTTCCTCATTCCTGACTACTAACAAATCGTCTGCATGTTCAGTCTCATTATTTATCAACCTCAATGTCAACCTAGGGCGCACTGAGGCGCATTGCAGCTCAATGGGTTAATAATGTTTAGTATTATATATAAAGTGTGATAAATGACTTTCTAAATACATGTACATGGTCATGGATTTGCATTGATATAATCAGGATGTTCAGAAGTAGCACCTGGTTAGAATATTACTGTACCATAGTCTGGTTAATTCAATCTGGAAAACCTCTGTGGTAAAGTCAACCCCCAATTCCTGGTTAGTCCTGTTCTTAATCCCTAACGTTTATTTAGCTGTTTATAACCAGGGTTTTAATCCCAATTTACCGACACGATAAATTCCAATACAATATATAGGGTTATATCACCCTCTAGAATCTATCTAAGCCCTGTTAGAAAGTGTTCAATGACCCACCAAAATTTCGCTTCATCCCTCCTATTTTGTGTGAAAGTCTTTAACCCTAACGCCTAAACCCTGCTGCAAGTGGTGCAAGCGGCACCACTGAACAAGCTTCAGCTCGACAGAGGTTAGGCGTTGGGGTTAAAGACTTTCACACAAAATAGGAGGGATGAAGCGAAATTTTGGTGGGGTTGAACTCTTTCTATACTCAGTGGTGCCGCTTGCACCCCACTAGAAATTTTTCCACCCCTCCTTTTAAAAAAATGAAAATCCGCCCTTGAACTGTATAGAAACACGGAAAATGTTTTCTATTTCTTAAATATTCTGGTTTATAGGTTATTCTTGAACCTGGTGATATTTTATTCGTCCCTAAACACTGGTGGCATTATGTTGAGTGTGTGGAAACAGCAATCAGTGTTAATACATGGATAGAAATGGTAAAATGCGATATCTGCTAGACTTGATTTCGGTCATAGCTTTAATGTGATATACTGCAGCTATTTCAATTAGGGTTGTCCCCCGAGCAAAGCGGAAAAGTCGAATACGAGCGCGAAAGGCTGCTGGGAATCGCTAATAAATTAATGATTTATTAGCGATTCCCAGCAGCCTTTCGCGCTCGTATTCGACTTTTCCGCTTTGCTCGGGGGACAACCTTAATTGAAATAGCTGTATACTTGCCTTGCACCTAGACACTACATAATAAATGTACATGTACAGTACTATCGGGCTGTTGGAACAGTACACATGCATCTCGCGTTCATAAGAAGCAGGATACCCGAGTTTCAGCGAATAACTTCATGCCTTGTACAGTACCTTCTAGCACAATACAGCATTAATTTAAAATGATCTTAATTGACCCTGTGACGGAGAGACATGTAGTTAATTGGTCATGTTGGCATGCGCAAAAATATATAATGAACATGAACAAGTACTGAATAATTTATGACTCGTGCTCAAGGGTGGGTAGTAGCGAAGTAGTTGTAGTTCGCTACTGTAGCGAACTACAATTTTCAAGTAGCCAGTAGTTTTTGACTACTTTTTTAAAACAGTAGTTGTAGTTATAGCGAACTACATTTTGCCTATAAGTAGCCAAGTAGTTGACTACTTTTCAAACAGCAAATCGCTATTCGCTACTTTTTAAAATTGTTAGCAACTTGATAGAATAGCATGATATTGAGACACAGTTTGCTTAAAATCAATACTCAATAGTCAATTTGCACTCCTGAACACTGTAGTGCTTACAAAAATGTTGCTTTGTGTTAACTGTTGCTACTCGTAAGTCGATTTGTTATAGATTGCATTACAGTCTGAGTTAGTAGATGCTCCGAATATAGTAAAACTAAAAAATATAGTGTAGCGAAATAGCGAAATAGTTCGCTACATTTTTTAAGCAGTAGCTGTAGTCAGTAGCGAACTACCTTTGTTCAAAAGTAGCAGTAGTTGTAGCTGACTACATATTTTTGAAGTAGCTGTAGTTATAGCAAACTACAAAAATTTTGTAGTCAACCCACCCTTGCTCGTGCTACTTACCCAAAGTAAACTGTGCACAAGGGGCGTCATTCCTGGGAGGGGGGTGGGGCGACGCGTCCCGCTCACTTTTTGGACATTCGCAATATAATATAATATATACTGACGTCATAATGTGGGAAGAACAAAGTCGCCGAGGCGAGTGGGTCACTTTTTTGTTCTTCATACATTATGACGTCATACTGTGTATCTATAACTGAACACACAACGGCAAAATCTTATCTATTTGTTTTATATAATAAAAAGAAAAACCCCGAATTAAACAGGTAAATAGCTTACTTTTTATCCGCCCAAACATTTGGAAATTTGAAAATCGAAATTTTACAAATATCACGCGTACATGATCTATACAAATAATGGAATGCTATTGGCTTCCTTACGTTACGTCACGTGTGACGTAATCCCGTGCGTCTGTCCTCCAATAGATCATGGCTCTCGACCAATGAAAGAGCCCGAATTCTTAACGTCATTATATAAAATATAGTTCGTCCATTGGTCAACCTCGTTCCCCCACTTTTTGGAATGGATTGTCGCTTTTGATGTGTATGCTCAGAAATACAAATTAGGTCCCACAAGCATTAATTAACGCACACTTTTATTTTCCTTCATATATAAGGGTAAAGTGGGGAGTTTGGGGACCGACGGACGGACAGACACTCCCTCTTATAGTCTATAGAGACTAAAAATGTCTATTCATAGGAATTTTTCTTCTTAGAATACAGATAACTACGATCGGATTGAGGAAGCAATAACAAGAACTTTGGTAAGTCGACAATTTACTTTGAAACCGAATGTAGCTTTATATAAGAATACGGTACAGACATAATCGCATGTTTTTGCTCGTTATGCTCGCTCTACTGGCTACACGATTCTTGACATCACGTAGCCAAGAATGACCCACATATGAAATTCTTATTCTGGGACCGGTTGTTCAAAGCTGGATTAGCGCTAACCCTCGCCGGTTAAAATTTAACCCGCTGTTTTAGTCTATGTATTTCTGCTGCCTCGTACCCAGGCGCTATCAAATTAATCCACGCGGCCCACGCAAAGGCCGCGCAAGCCATAGAACAACACATAGCGCCTGGGTACGAAGCTGGTATTTCTGCAAGTCCATTTGTTTCCAAACCTTAGAAAATAAAATTCCTATTGATCCAGACAAGATTTCTAAGGAAATATTCCCAAATGCACAAACAAGTCGGTGGGAAGTGTGCTTCGAGTTTTACGTTAATGTAGGGTTAAGCTGACTAGTCCCAGAGGTTTCACTGCATTTAACAACTTTTCTTATTAAATAGATAAATCCCCTCAAATTAGAAGAAACAAAAGTTGGTGCTTGCGACCAAAACGTATGGCTCAATCCATCAATGAGAAAGGCAAGTGAAAGTGTGATACCGTGAGAATGAAATTGAGATCAAAACTGTTCCAATCATTTTTCGTTATTATTATATGGCAAGCATCACTTCCGGTGAAATGGCGGACTGTGATTGGCTGAGAAGCTCCGGCAGTCCATTACGTAAAAACAAATACATGCATTTTAAAACAAAACAGCAAAACTAATTGAAAATTATAATTTAATTTGTTATTAATAAGATATCTGCGAATGGTTTTTAGTGGAAAAGAAGGAATACATTGTTTTGTTTTTTTTTCTTCGACCAAATGTGTGCCACGCTACTAATATGCATTTCAAATCATGCATTTCTTGTTTGTTTCAAGTATAAATGCCATATAATAAACTATTATTAACCTCGCTTGCTCGGTATGTACAGAGAAATATCGGACCTCGGTCTTTTTCTACAGAGTCGCCCTACGTGCTCGGTCTGTACATAAAAGACCTCGGTCTGATATTTCTCTGTACAGACCTCGCGTTCGGTTAATAAGAAGTTAATAATGGGCTACATTAAAAAGGGAGAATGTCTTTAAAAGGTACTTACAAAAATCCTATAATTACATTTTATAGGAGAATCTGTCATTTCATGAAAGCATGAACTACTTAGGCCAAGCTTTAAGGCTATACCATCTGGAACAAATGAAAGCCAATAATGAAGTTGAACAACAAGAAAATAAAGAACTTGGCGCGGACGAGTTTATAAATACTGTTGTTTCAACTGATGTTATTCGAATGATAGCACAAAAACTTCTCAAACTCACAAAACCTATGCGGTGACATTTGTATGATATTTTACACTAATGCTTTCAAGGTCATTTTCACTACCCAATGACCGTATAGACATTTTGAATTAATAATTGAATAGACATACGGTAGCGATTGATACACCGAGTGGAAAGGGTAATTTAAAAATGAAAATTAAAGCCCAGCAAATGACTTTCAGACGAGACATAACAAAAATATACCGGATTAAACGAGAACGGAAGTTATCGCAAATTTAAACTCCTGGGGCCTATATACATGAACTTGCGTATATACTCCTGCATGGGGCCTATATACATGAACTTGCGGTTACAGCTCAACTGCTGGCCTCTGTTGCTCAGTTGGTTAGAGCGCTGCACCGGAATCGCAGGGCCGTAGGTTCAATTCCTACCAGAGGACCTTGTGCTGCATTTTTCGCAGTCGTTCCTGGTTAGGTATTAAAATGTATATATTCTCACTTGGATTACAAACCCTAACATTCTAATAAGGGTTAGCGCTAACCCTGGGTTTGTTTTAGTTTGGGTACATTTGCACATCTGTTTATTTCAAAATTTTGGAAAATAAAACTTCTATTGATCCAGACATGAATTTTGGAAAACTATCTTCGTGTTTCTATAAACAGGCTGTTGGGAAGATTGTTTGAAATTTTCGTTAACCTAGGATTAAGCTAACCGGCTTTTGAACAACCGGCCCCAGCATGGGAAAGAGTGAATTAGTGGTTTAAATAATAAACGTTGTATTAAAATGAGTCAAATTATTGTGTATTCCATATTTCGTGGGGGGTTTTTATTGTAAAATTACCCACGTCCTCTTTTCCATGCTTTAAGCCGGTTTTCCACTAGGCGGAATTTTGCGCGCGGAGCGGACTTCTTCTTTGTCTTGTGATTTCTCGGGTGGAACTAATTAGAAAAGACAAAGAAAAATTCCGCTCCGCGCGCAAAATTCCGCCTAATGGAAAACCGGCTTAATGACTTGCGTTCTCGCTTAATCAGGAAAACAAACGCGCTCCATTAATGGCGGTCCTTGGCGCTTGTTTCGCGTCCTGAACTTAATGGTTGAGAAATGCCTGCATTTAATAACAATAACATGTTTTTCCAGACAAAAAAGCAGTCAATCCATGCATAAAATAAACTTAATGTGTCCTTTAGCCCTATCAGTTGAGCTGAGCGTCACTCGTGACTGTTGGCGGCCAGTATAAGCAAGTTCCCCCAGTGCATGCGGTGGCGTTTTGAGTGATTTCAGCCACGCGTGCCATCGGCACCGAATAATCAACATGTTGAATAATTTCAGTCACGAATGAACATTTCCTCCAAGTGCGCGCGCTCGAAAAGCTATCACCTTTCACTGTAGATCGAAAAGGCATGCGTAATAAAACATAAGACAAAAGGAAAATAATTAATGAGGAATCTAATACTTGAGTAGCGACATATGAATATTCCTCATAATTATTTTCCTTTTGTCTTATGTTTTATCACGCATGCCTATTCGATCTACAATGAAAGGTGATAGCTTTTCGAGCACGCACACTTGGAGGAAATGTTCATTAGCGCTATGTTATGCAAAGTGAAAAAAGTTTAAACCATAGATATCTTATATACACTATCTAATTATTCTGCAATTCAAAAATTGAAGCCGTGATTGCAGACTCAGGATATTCCCATGAAATGAGAAGATTCGTATGTTTTCTATTTCTTAAACAGGGAACTTAAATATTAAGGTAAACCTATTCCAAATACATTTTTTAAACTATTCAAATGATGAAAGTTATTGTTGTTTTTTAAGCGTTTGTTAGCGAGTGGGAACTACCAACATAGCCGCCATCTATTGAAATGGGGGTAACCGCTGGAATATTCTTGGCTTCAATTTTACTAAAAGAGATGCGCTATCTAGGGGACCGTTCATTATTTATACCCGGGGTTGGTACCGAAGAGATATGGGTTGGGTAATCAAGTTTTTGGCTAGCTTATGGGTTGGGTAAAAAAATTTGTGGCTCTCTGTCAGCTATAAAATTTAACCAAAATTACCATGCATTGGAAAATATGAAAAAAAATGTGTACAATACATTCTGTACCAGTGAGTTTGAGAGTGAGTGAGCTTTTAGAATTTAGGCAACTTGATTTCTGTCACCATAATCTTATGTGTTTAAATATTATGAAGTACAGTAACACATGGGTTGGGTGAACATTATTTTGACCAATGTCGAGGTTGGGTAAATAAAAAATTTACAGTGTTTTTCGCTTCTCTTCGGTACCAACCCCAGGTATAAATAATGAACGGTCCCTAGTGTATATGGTTTAAACAGACAGGATTAAATGGTTGAGAGTGAATACGCGCAGACGCACAAATGACTAAAAGAATCAAAGGCCGTTGAGGCCGACTCACGGATAAGATCAAATGAAAGAGAGCAGTTTGCAGTTGTTTTTTGCAAACTGGGCACCGTGCGAATTTTGCCATTTCAGCAAATTTATCGTACTTAAGTTTGCCAAATCAAAACGAACGCGTGCTCCAGCCCGATTTCCGGTTCTGAAAGGCCCGATTCGCAGGCAAACAGTGCGCGCAAAGCAGCCTGGTCATTTCCCTTTGTTTAACTGCCCTACACTCGAGTAACCACAAAGATTTCACAGCGAAGCATCGCAACATCCGTGGGTCAAAAAGGGTCGTAAAATTAAAGAAAACTGCCTTCGCTCAGTTCTTTCCGGCGGCCTGGTCTGCTAGAAACACGCCCACTTGCCAAGCTGATCCAGGTTGGCTAAGGGACCGGTCATTAAATATGGTAAGGGGGGATGGAGGAGAAAGTAGGGGGGTCCTGAATTATTTTTTCATTGAGGGGGTGTGTCTTTAAAATTCCATTATGTGAAAGAGGGGGGTCTTCGGATTTTTCCCAACAAAAGGATTGTTTCTCGTTATATACTATGAACAGCCAAAAGAGATGCATAAAATGCCCTTTAAACTGGAACACTGGGTATTAACATAACGAGTAAAGCATAAAAAACATAATATAAAAGTGGATGTAGGCGAGACAAGCATAGGCCATAGAGTAACCTACCTAAATAGATTGTAAAATATTTATTTAACTAGTTTCATCAAATTTTATACCTCTTTTAATACTCTTCATTGATCACTTGCTCTCCTAAGCTTTGTTCTAATCGGGCCAGCCATCAATACAAAACTATATTTTCAAGCGGTACAAGGGGGGGGGGTCTTTAAAAAGTATAAAATGCATAAGGGCGAGCCTTGAAAAGGCATATAATTTTTGAGTGGGGCCCCAAATTTTTTTTCAAAATTACTAGTTTCTCCTCCATCTCCTTCCATATTTAATGACCGGTCCCTAAGGCCGCTGGTTAACTATTTTGATCCATACCTTAATTTCACTGAGCAAACAGGCGAGGGCTGCGAAATAGTATACTATTGAAATTCTCTGAAATTTCTCGGTTTTATTATTTACAAGTACAAACTTACTAAAAAAATCCATTTGATAGTGTCAATATCTATCTATCTGACATGCATGCAGTGTATATAATAATTTACATTTCCCAGTATTTTATTAAATAAAGACAAAAGCTGCGAGAACCAACATTGATTAGGTATATCGCTGCATTTTCTCTAGTAATTCATCACGAAGAAATTTCAGGGTTTCCTGGAAAGAAAAGTTAAACTTTAGGTTAAACAGTATAATCCAGTCGATTTGAACAGCAGTAATTAGAAACCAGTATTAGCTGCGACGGTTTTTGTCAAGATAAATCGAGTTTGAATTTTGTTTGGATTTGGATTTGGTTTGCTTTATAATGGTGTACCTATAGCATTTCAGTTAAACACGTTAATTGGTCTACGGGTGTCTAACCACATTAGGGATGCCTCCCCTTTGATTGGCTTTGAATATCACAAAAAAATCATGTATATATACAGGGTGTATCAAAAAAAGCGCAATCCTCGACTGAAATGTAAATTGCTAAACAAATAATAGACGAAAACGTTAAAGTTTACATTCATTTTAAAGCGTAGCCATTCAGCTTTCTAACAGTGGGTTGTTTCTTAAATTTGACTCATTGGTTCGCGGGTAATAATACTTTACGTTATTGCGATTGGAGATTAAAAAAATTGAGATGGAATAACAAATCGTTCTCATGAAAATAACTGATTTTTTCATTAAAACAAAAAGATGTTGCATTTTATTAAATGGATTGTAACAATAAGTATAATTACGGCTTTTCTTCCACTATTTTTAACTCAGTTTGAAACTTCAAATGCGATATAATTTCGGCTTGGACCATCTAAGCTGACTGACATCAACTTGCTATAAATTCTGTTTACCTAACATCACAATGCGATGACACTCTGGCTCAGACACCAGAATGTTTTGACGATTTTTAGCATTCGTTTAGGATTTTCAAACAACCTGGTCTCTTTTAAAATACTTTTAATTTGTTCTTACGTGGTTTTCCAGATGTAGTGACGACAACATTAAAGTTTAAAGAAGAAAATTCTAACATTTAAACCGACTAAACAATAACATAGTAAACTTGCATAATTAAACAGCAACTAAAAATGATAGGTTTTACTAAATCTTTTCCTGTGCAATTATTACTAGCATTGGAGACAAGGATAATAGTTTGTTTGAAAGAGAAAGGAACAGGCTTTGAAGTAAGCCTAAAAGCGTTTAACTAGAAATAGTATTTCGAAAGTTATTAAGCACAAAAGATGAATTGCGTTTATTTTGATACACCCTGTAGATGATATATTAGTAATATTCGATTACACAGCAGAGGCTCATGATACACGTGCTCAACAACTAAGACCCAAGGGTTGGGATACAGGCAGAACCAACCAAACTCTACTTACATGAGTTCTCAAGTATAGGGAAGTTACCCAACGTACAGCCCCGGTTAAACGAGGATCAGAGATGGCTATATATTGGTTAGATACAATATCGTACCCCAAGCCCGGGATCCTATAGCTGAGCAAAACCTCTCATCAAAAATGAACCAGCTCAAAGTTAATAGAGACCTTACGATTTTAGGACGGCAACGCGACAGCAACGGCTACCAATACAATAGATCATTGAAAATAATTGAGTAATTACAATATATGAATAATTTAGACATTGTCCTCGCTCTGTTTACAACGCTAAATCACAGATTTTCACGTCTTGATACAACGGCTGCATTCCAAGCCGCAACAAGTGCAACTTCAAACTGGGTTTAGCAGAACTCTTCCCAACCATAAAACCCATGTCTTCAACTTCTAAAACTATTAAATTCATGCGATTGATAATATACGACGAACTATCTTTACTACCATTTATTTGAAGGAGTTTGTTTTGGCCGTCGCCGTCGCGTTGGCGTCCTAAAATCATAAGGTCTCTATTGAGAGTGCATGGATAAACGCCAGAGTTGAATCCCTCATCAAATCTTGTCGACTTTTATCCTCGTTTGACCAGAGCTTAAGCAAACAACCTCCCCTCGACCTACGTGCAGTAGCAGCGTCATTTTTAGGTTGCTCATGCCTATCATTTACTTTCCATTCTTAATACCTGTTCACTTGTCAAAACTGAAAAATCCTCAATGTTCTTTGCACTTGATCGTTGTTCAATTTCATACTTTTCCAATTCACGATCCAACTCAGATCTGAAGATACAGAACTTCATATTAAGCTATACTAAAACATGTTAGCCATTAACAGGTTCGTATATATTTATCGTGTTTTCGTTGTGATTAAATTTAAATCTTACTATGAGCAAAACAATTGCTGCGCATATTGATAACAACTCACCTCCTTTTTAACTGTCGGTCTATTTCTTTACGAAGTTCAAGAAAATCTTTGGCCAACTATAAAACAGAAGAACAACAGAGTAGCTAAATGAACTTGAACGGTATGTGTCAGTGTTGGTAGTGCCAATAACAACAAGCTTTCATTGGTAGGGATGGAACTACCTGAAAAATACAAAGCGAAATTCGACGTTTTGAGCGAAGGAAGGGCCTTCGCTCGACGAAGGGCCTTCGCTCAAAACGTCGAATTTCGCTTTGTATTTTTCAGATATATAGTTGCATATCCCTACCAACAAAAGCTTGTAGATAAATGAACGGGTTTACATCAGCCAATTCTATTTTAGTGTTTTTCACCCTACAGTACTGGGGCCGGTTGACAATGTATAAAAAGGTAGTTAAAGTAAAGGCTGATTTCCACTGCGTTTTTCGTACGCACGTACACGCACGTAAAACTTTGAATCCTTCTATTTTTTAAATATTTTACAAATAAGTTAACAAATGCATACTAAAACTTGCGGAACACTAAATTATGTTGCTTTATTTATTTGGTTATTTCATAAAGTAACATTTAAATGGATTTAAAGTTTTACGTGCGTATACGTACGTATGAAAAACGCAACAGTGGAAATCAGCCTTAAACTGCAGTCGGTGCGAAAGTTGACCAATCAAAATCGCGTATTTTTTAGTTAACCACAAAATAGTTGTTTCTGTATTCACTGTCTGAATTCGCCAGAAAATGACCTTTCTGATAAGCCAGTTAAATGAAGGCAATCATTTGGAGCTCTGTCAAAGTAAACTTGGGAAATTGGACGGCTAATTCATGCCGTGTATGTGTTATTTAGCTTTAAAAACATCTTCCACCCAAAATGGTGGATTTCAAACAATTACGCCACGTGGGTTGAATACCTTGATATGTTTGTCGAATAACTCCACAGACTCTTGGCTTCCTGAAATAGGAGGTACTGGCTGGAAAATACAACAGAACGGAATCAGAGACTATGTTTACATTGTATTGGATCGCTTGCGTAGCGACGCAATAACCATACCAGATATGGCTTCTGTTTACATATGAAACGATGTAATCGTGTCAGTTTCGGTAACGAATTGCGAAGCAGTGACGTTCTGGCCACCATTCGAACTGGTGCGTGGCACGTGCTGTGCCGGAACGCCTTCATTGTAATGTAAGCGATCAATCGCAGCAATTTTGGGTTCAAAACATAATTCAAAATGCCAGTGTCGTGGCTCAGAAGAGGTATCTTGTTCCCAGGAAATTGTTTACAGTTGGGGGGCTGAACTGTTTCGCGAACGAAGCCCAAGAACCTATATCAGAGTATATCTGATACAGTGTAAACATAGTCTGGTATACAGCATTCTATATAACAGAGAGGTTCAGATTTGACTTCACTACAACTACTTGTCACAGGCTTTGATTGCGTTAATCGAGTAGAATCCTCATAACTATAATACTATTATTATAATGGTGACGGTATGTCGAAACATGCCCACCTGCAATTGAGGATCTAAACCAGAGACATAAACCATGTCGTCGCGTATAGTTGGTAAGGTCACATCTATAGAAGGAAAAAAAACAAACTTATTCAATGAAAACGTTTGGAGAATGAATCACATGATTTCATGCAGCGCACACAAAGCGGTGGCAATCGCGGACACACAATGGAAGTTGAACTAAATTTAATCACAGGTCAACTAGTTTTTTAAAACTGATTACTCAAGAGGCTATCGCAATAGAGAACGGCCTTTAGCTGCTCAAACCATGGTCGCAAGCATGTCAAGAATAGATGGCCGATGAAAAAGAGAATCAATATTTCACAATCAATAAGCACACAAATGACAAGATAAATTCAGACGATTTCTCATCGATGACAACGACTTGTGTGCGACAGTCGCCACTAAATGAACACTAGGCTTTGAGTCAAAAATATTTCAACTCGCCTCCAACACCCATTTCATGTTTTGTTGATGGGTAAATTCCAAGAAGTATTCTTAACAGCCTGATTGTTATGGTTTAAATGCTTGGTTGCTCTTTCTCAATTTTATACTTTAGGTATGTGCCAAGTTATCCACAGTGAAAAAAGGATATGGCAATTAACAAGCATAAAATATGTTAGCTGATTACTTCTACATAATATAGTATATTGTTCAAATACCTGAATGGTGTCGCAGTCTCATTCCATGTTCTCTATCCTCATGATAAACATCAGCTGAGAAAGACCTGCGAAAGTCATGACCATTGTCCACATGGTCATCTGCAAGTTCATCATTAAAAGCTGTAAGTGCTAACCGTACATCCTGGAGATTAATCTCGCCTATATTTGAGCCAATCACAGGCGTGTTATGCGGGGGAATATTGCCAGACACTGGTGACGCACTCCCGTGGGTATGATTTTGCTGAGGAATGTTTATCGTATCGGTGTTGTTTAAAATTTCACTTTGGATTTCAAAACTTTCAGTGTTATCTTCCAAGGCATTCAACATTTCTGAGGTTTTCTCATCACGATAAATTAGTTCTGGAATATCAGATGTATACCCAACCGCCCCTTCAGGTGCGGGCATAAATAACGGTATGTCTTCCACTTTGGGTATTTCACCCACCTCCCTTGTGGGCCAAGACTGCTTGCTAGGAGCTACTTTTGTGAACGCACTACTTTCATGTGCCGTGTTAGGGCTATGGATCTCATGTGCCACGTTGGAGTTCTTGACCTCAATTGCCTTGTTAGAGCCATCACTTACATTAGGGTCATCAATTTCGCTAGCCATAAGGTTCTCTAAAACATTTCCAGCAACACAAGGATCGCTCCTGGATATTTCTGTATTGATCAACGACTCGACCACGTTGTTAAATGGACTTTCACTTGGGAATATTGGTTCTGATTGAGTTTCCAAACTGTTTGTAACATCAGAAGGTGTGTCGTTAGTGTCGTTGTCTGCGACTGTCTCTTTCGCTGGATAAACTATTGGAGTATCATGACCATGAAAGAACTGCAATAAAAGGAACAAAAAATTCAATGAAAACACAAGAGTATGTTACTGGAATTCAGTTTACTAGTTAAGTCGGGTTTCTTTGATGTACCGTGAGATGCATGTGTACAGCTTATAACCCGTGAATAAACAAGGAGATTAAAAACTTGTCGACAAAACTCGAAAAATCTTTATGGATAATCTTTCAAATTGATGAAACCTTGCTCGAAAACCTCCTCGACTAGTAAGTAAGTCAGTTGTAAACCTCGAACTTGGGCCCTGCGGCCCCTCGGGGCAATATATGACTTATATCCCGCGTTCTCGGTTTATAACATATGCATGATAATATGAAGTTTGTACTTTGAGATAACTAAAATTGAAATATAAAATTCACTAATTCAGTATAAATCACAATTTTGAACTTTAATTCACAAATCTAATGAATATGCCAGCGCACAACCTCGTACCCAGGCTCTTTAGTAATGAATAGCGGCTTCAGAGCTCTGGGCGAGCTTTTACCTTTTAGCTCGCCCAGAGCTCTGAATCCGCTATTCATTCCTAAAGAGCCTGGGTACGAGGCTGGCCAGCGGGCAAGACCTTCTAACCCATGATTACTTTAAGTCATTTCATAACTAGCCTGGCAAATACAGATCACAATACTGATTGGAATATTCTGAAAAAAGTTCCACACTAGTCGTAAAACATCCGTTGAAAAAATGGTTTACGATTCGTACGAGTCGACAATCAGAAATATTGTTCGTACTTGTCGATAGTTGTTTTACGAGTCGTAGTATAAAAATATCAAGTATACAAATAATGAATGTTTACGAGTGCAATGGTATAACTTTTTTCATGAGGTGACACATGGAATTTTTCATTCCATCTCCATGAAAATATTCTCACAATTGCACGAACGAAAACACTCATTGCTTGTTTTATTTAACCCCAAAATCAGTGTTATCGAAATGGTAATTTTTATTCTCTTTCACGTGACCATAATCAGCTAATTAAATTATATTACCAGAATTTAATGAGGTGTAAGATCATTGCAACTAGTAATGTACAGTCAGTTTGTTGTTGTTATGGCGATGAGTCGATTCATATGAGTTGGCAAATTGTTTAACGAGTCATAAAATATATGTCAGTAGTAATATAGAGGCCGTTCGACCCCCATTTTTGCGGCGGTGGAGTGCGGCGGTGGAGTGTGGAGTGTGGAGGGTAATTAGTATTCCAATACGTCATAATTATATGCAATGACGTCACGCGGGCAGGTTTAAACAAGGACATGTGAAACTTGCTGACTACGCATTTTTTATTAATATAGAGGCCGTTCGACCCCCATTTTTGCGGCGGTGGAGTGCGGCGGTGGAGTGTGGAATGTGGAGGGTAATTAGTATTCCAATACGTCATAATTATATGCAATGACGTCACGCGGGCAGGTTTAAACAAGGACATGTGAAACTTGCTGACTACTCATTTTTTATTAATATAGGTACCGTTCGACCCCCATTTTTGCGGCGGTGGAGTGCGGGGGTGGAGTGTGGAGTGTGGAGGGTAATTAGTATTCCAATACGTCATAATTATATGCAATGACGTCACGCGGGCAGGTTTAAACAAGGACATGTGAAACTTGCTGACTACGCATTTTTTAACCTTGATTTGCTATGAATAGCTCGAGTCCCTCACAAGGCAGAATTGTGATCGAAATTAATATATAGCAGAGTTATAGCCGTATCTTTGCTCGGAAGCGATAAATTTCCACGACTATATTGAAGGATTTTTCATATGTTCCATAGCGAGGAATCTATTCGTTACAAAAATCAAGACATATTTTAAACAGAACTAAACAGTTGCTTATCCCGGGTTGCCAGCGTCGTTGTTAAGGTTAATATTATTAATATATAGCAGAGTTATAGCCGTATCTTTGCTCAGAAGCGATAAATTTCCACGAGTATATTGAAGGATTTTTCATATGTTCCATAGCGAGGAAACTATTCGTTACAAAAATCAAGACATATTTTAAACAGAACTAAACAGTTGCTAATCCCGGGTTGCGAGCGTCGTTGTTAAGGTCAATATTTGCATGTTGTTCAACGTTATTTAGCAAGTCTTCTGCATACATATATACTGTTAAGATGACCGAGTCAGATCATAAGTAAGCTTATGAAGAATATAAGTTAGAATTGGAACAGTTGTAATATATTTTGCGATAAAAACATGTACTCGTTATATACGTTGCTTTGTGCTAAGTCATTAGGAGGTGTAGGTAATTAAGGGGATTACGGCAATACGAATTTGCATGACTAAGTGTACCCCAATGGATAGATAGGGATTATTTATAACGCAGGTGTATACCTTAAAATCAGGCGCGTGGCTCTGCGGGTACATGCATATATTGAAGTACAACATATTTGTACACGGATCTTTTCGCGCGGGCGGAAAGAGCGGGCTTTGCCGGCAAAAAATTACACAATATTTCAGTTTTTAAATGCATTTATTTCTTCAAAACGTTTTACAAAATTTAGTACGGTCTACTTCTGAGAGCGTAACGTCTAGGTGTTTTTGTTATTTTTAAAGAGTTCTCATATTCTTGTCTATCTTCTGGGGATAACTTTGCAAGTTTTTCCGGCTTCATTGGAATATATTTCGGTCTATCGTTCAATATAAAACGTTCATAATCCTCTCTTGCTTCCGGAGTCATTCGCGCTAGGTCACGTTCGGTCCAATCTGCTGGGTCGACCCAATTGTGAAAAAAATTGCGCTTGAGTTTTGGCCGTTCCTCTTCTGTTGGTGGTGGTGTAAGGAAATTAAGTTTAGGAGTAGCAGGTACTATCTCAACAAATTCATTGGGTTGTGGTATTTCTGCAGGCACTAGTGGAGTTGTCTGAACAGGAGCTGGGACATCCATCTTATTTTTGAATGTGAGAAACCGATTTAGTTGATCAGAGTATAATTTGCTTTTTTCCACTGCGCTAAGCTGTGGTGCATCCATGATTTCTTTCATTCGCTGCTCGGCATCATACATGGCATTTACAAGTGGTGGTTGTCGATACGACTGTTTTTGTATAAACGTTTCAATCTCACCGGGAAGTATGTTGGTCTTGAGTCGTTTCTGATCATCTGTTGTTGGCTTTAAATCCAACATCAAATACCCGTGAGGTCGGCTCGTAGCATCTTCATAACTCCTCATAAATTCTTGTACTTTTCCGGGATTTATTTGCCTTGCAAGCATAGAAATTTGTTGTTTATCTCTTGGTGACTTGAACAACACGATATAATGGGCGTTTAGGCTGATATTTCTCATTTCTTTGCCTTGATGAAATATATTTGGAACAATATAGATGATAGATAAATTCCGATGATGACTTCCTTTCGTAAAAAGATCAGAAATACGTTTATCTTTGCCAGATTGAGCCATAAGGTCGTCCAATACGATCAAATTCCGTTGCGATACGTCCAAGTAACCTGCGTTGTCGATGTCTTCGGGGATGCCTTGATTAAACTCGATTCCAGGCATCGTTCTCATCATATCAAAATAGGAGGGTTGCCATTGACCATAACACCAAATGATACGTTGAGGAGCAGGACTTATAGTTTTCTGTGCAATCTCCAAGAGAGATTTTACCCATACAGTCTTGCCGCTTTGGGTACACCCGGCTACGATACATGTGAAAGGATGCTGCAAAACTGTAGATCCTGCTGAGATTTCAACTGGTTTGCTTTGAACATCTCCATGGGTATTCAAAGTATGACGCTTGAGGTTACCGCGTGTTGAAAATACTTTGGCACATATATTGCACGGAAAGGACATGTTCACACCACGAACGTCTAGCTGCAAGTGATAATAAATTGGCGTATTCGTTCTATATATTCATTAATGCATCTATCCAGTATTATTCTGTATCTTTATCTTCCTTGTCTTTATCTTCCTTATCTTTATCCTTATCTTTATCTTTATTCTTATCTTCCTTATCTTTATCTTCTTTATCTTTATCCTTATCTTTATCTTCCTTATCTTTATCTTCCTTATCTTCCTTATCTTTATCCTTATCTTTATCTTTATCCTTATCTTTATCCTTATCTTAATCTTTATATTCCTTATCTTTATCTTCTTTATCTTCCTTATCTTTAGTCTTTTCCTTATTTTTATCTTTATCCTTATCTTTATCTTCTTTATCTTTATCTTCTTTATCTTTATCCTTATCTTTATCTTCCTTATCTTTATCCTTATCTTAATCTTTATGTTCCTTATCCTTATCTTTATCTCCCTTATCTTTATCTTTATCTTCTTATCTTTATCCTTATCTTAATCTTTATGTTCCTTATCTTTATGTTCCTTATCTTTACCTTCTTTATCTTTATCTTTATCTTTATCTTTATCTTTATCTTTATCTTTATCTTTATCTTTATCTTCCTTATCCTTATCTTCCTTATATTTATCCTCTTATCTTTATCCTTATCTTCCCTATATTTATCCTCTTATCTTCCTTATCTGACATGCACAAGGAGCCAAGTTCGATAAGCTCAGAGTCGAGCTCTCAATAGCTTGGAGCCTTGTCTAAATTGCTTTCTGTCTTCCGATATAAGCTTCCTTATTGTTGTGTTTTACTCATTTGCTTCCAAACCGTCGAACAGAAATGATCAATCTTCTAAGGCACAAGCCATTTCTTGAATTGTTGGGCACGTCTGAGCCTGATCAACAACAAGCACTACTGGAAACAGCAACCGCCGGGCAAGTACACTGCCTGTGTCTCTGTGTAGAAAACGTTATGAAAAGAAAATATTTAATGCCGAAGCATGTAATGAAGAAACTCCGACCTTACAAACATGAAATGCTTACGTTGGTAGATAGAGGAAAATGTGGAAGAAGAAAAAAACGGATACTCATTCAGCGTGGTGAAGGTTTCCTTGGACTATTACTAAGTCCTATTTTGGAAAGCCTGGCTGAACTTGTATAAAAGCCCTGTGACTACAAATTATACATCATTTCAACAATGAACATCGAGAGTAAAACATCTCCGCGACATTGGCGCATTGAAGATATACTTTTGTATCTGAACAATAATGTCAAAAAAACTACAGCAGAAAAAATGCTACATTCTATTCTTATATCAAGCGATATTTTAACTTGGAATCCTCAGGGTGAGATTGTTTATCATGGAAGAGACATTCCTGGTACTAACATTGAGAACTTTTTACAATACGCACTTTTACCATACAACTCTCACATTCCTGAACCACGAGGGCTCGACCTGTTTACAAAAGGCCTAGTAGAAGCAGGGGTTAATAAAGATTTGATTAAAAATGAGTATTTATTGTCAAAAATGGCAAAGGAGGAACATGAAATGCCACAATCTGAGAGTGATGTTGAAAGCGAATCTGGTGAAGAGAACAGGAAATCTGACAAGAGTGATAATGAAAGCGAATATGATGATAATGAGGATGATGATAATGAGGATGATATAGCGAGCCCGAGAAACTAGCTTGTAACCATTGTGGAGAAGAGACTGGTCACATTGTATACTTAATGAAGTGCCCAAGATGTTCGTGGAAAGATTTCTACTGGGGCAAAGACGCTCAATGTATGATATGTGATGACCAGTCACC